TGTATTTTATGTTTTGTTTCAGGAATGCAGTAAAAAACAGAAAAATGATGATACGCAAAGTACATCTGTTGATGCATTGAGTTCAAATGATGGTCTTGAAGAGGTAATGTTCCTTCTAAAAATTGTAATTCACTCTTACTTGTATTCTTTTTTGTTGTGTACCCCAAGGGAGGTTATAAGTAGAGAACTTTCAGGTACTAAATATAACACTAGTCCAACAAGCAGTTGTAAGCAATTATGAGCACTTCTAGACATCTCATAACATGAGAATCAAGAATCTTTAAAAAAGATGAAATAAAAAACCCTTACTATGCAAACACAAAACAGAAATTGAAGTTCTAAAAAAATTTTGAGTGTCAAAAATCTTACATCAAGTCTTCAAAACAGAGACAGAGCTTACAAGGAGAAAAGAGGGGGTTTGACAGTAGAAATGCGCAAAATGTGTTCTTATTTTTTACATCAGACAAACTTACAGGTCACATACTGTTCTTCGACAGATAATTGTTTCCCTGGGAATGGCCTCTTAACTGAGGGATTTTTTTTTTTTTTTTTTTTTGCAAGTAGTCTGGTTATGTTGCACTTCTGTCCAAGTACTCCTTCTTCCCACAGATGAGCTGCCAACAGTATTGTAGACAGAAGCATGAAACTCTTGATCTTATGTATAAGTTCAATGTAACTGTAGGACTGCATTCTGCTTGTTTTACCTTGTGGTAAAAAGCCAAAGCCATCTTGCTGTTAGAGAGGCATCTGGCTATTAAAGAGGCTTAATAGTTCAAGTAAAAGTTTTCAGTTGCTTGGTAAGTTGATGGGGACTGTCAGCTCTGAAATGCAATGCAAATCAAGTTACTAGAACATGGACTACAGGGCTAAATTTAGATCTATGTTTATGCTTAAACATTTTGCAGTTTCACAGTAATAATAGGAGCAGAGCCATGAAGAAGGATGGAACAAATTATTTTGATTACTTCTAAATAATCTTGGATGTTATGCAAGTGTCATGGATTGTCTTGTTTTAAACAAAACAGTGAGACCACGTTTGCTCTTCGTCTGGGTCATTGCAGAGGTCTTGAAAATTGGTTGATAGTTATTAAATACTTTTTTACTTTTTTTCTCCCCCTCCAGAAAAATGAGTTTCATACATTGGCTAATGCTAAAATACTCCTTAGCGACTGCCTAGCTTGTGACAATTGTATGACATCAGAAGAAGGCGCCAGAGTTTTCCAACAGAATCAGAAGGAGCTCTTTCGTATTCTTAACCTTAATAAGGTAAAGTGACACAAATAATAACACACTGTTTTCTGCGAGGAGGAGGAAATTACAGAATGACTAAGCAGCTTGGTTTCCCAAGGCAGACAATGTGAAGATTTGTCAGGATATACTTTGTCCAAAGAGGAAGCGAAAACTTCAGGCAAAATGAACATTAAAGTACTTAAAATAATTTTGCACTACAGATGCAAGATCACAGCACTTAACCTAAATGCTAGAGGAAAGTTACTGCACCTGCAGAAGTAAAATTTTTGGAAAATGTAACTTCCTCATTACTGTAATAACAAATTAGTCTGTGGTTCAGTATAAATACTCATACCTTCGTTACTAAGACTGTTCTGGGTGGTTTTGGTGCCAATTTATCCACATAATACAAAGTTATCAAGGCAAGTTTTTGAAAGTAGAATTGTTTTTAATACATATTCAAGCTGACTGTATTTGGAACAGAATTTTTTGTCCAAATTCTTAGCAAAACTTTCTTATAGAAAAGCATTCTTTTGCTGTCTTATTTTCTGCTGAGATCTGGATTTCCTGGAAGTTAGTTGCTATGTATGGTGCTCAGATCTTTAGATCTTGATATTGAATTAATTGTTTTAGTTCTGCTCCAGACTTCTGTGTCTTTACTTGGTATGTAAAAGCTACCAGAATTGATGCTTTTTCTTGATGTGTACATGTGTCATAAGTAAGAGGATTCATTACATAGTGATTCAGTTTTCTTAGAACTAGTTTAACTCCCCATACAGTATGATGTTGTCGTACAAGAGAAAGAGAAGGGAAAAAAGAAAATCTTTTGGGTCACATGGGTCCTACAAAGAGAGCCCGAAGTCTACAATAAGGAGGCAGGCAGGTACCTTGGTTAGAACTTCAGGGTCTGAAAGAGGACCGTGAGCAAAGGATATGCTTTCCAGGCAGTCACGAGCTCTACTTGAAGGGTCATTATAGAGCATCTAGGGCATCTAAGTACAAACTATGGTCTCTAACCTTTTTAGGGTGAAACTTGTCTGTGGCATAGTCCTGGTTTATCTTCCAAGGGTTCCACTGGTATGGAAGAGGTCCCAACTAAAACACAAGGATCATCTTCAAATAAATGTCACAGTCATCAGAGCTTTACAATTGCATGCCACCTTAGGTATTTTCAAAGGGTTCTTCAGTGCCTACAAACGCTGGTTGGTTGAGGGTCCTATCTTGCAAGTTTCCCTCAACAACTTAAGCGATAGAGACGCAGGAGCCTTAACAAAGGATGAGATCTCTAATTTGCTGGGTTGGATTTGTAACTTCAAATGCCCATGCTCCTGTAAACATTAGTTTATCTATTTATTAATGTTTAAACATACAGCTTTTCATATTTGCTAGAATGTTTCATGTTGCTAGAATGTCATAGGTGCTGAATGTCTCTTTTCTTACGCCATTCGGAGACCAACCACAGAATTGTCCTAGGAGGGATGGATTTCCCTGAGTTATATAAAAGAAACATCTACAGATGGTTAGAGATGAACACTGACAGGATCAGAGGAACATCCTGTCCTGCCCTCAGGAAACTTGATAGTTGTTTCACAGGGGTTTTAATGATATGGCCCACTGAAGCATAGGACACTGAGGAATAACTCCAGGAGTGGAAAAGGGAGGGAAGTAGGGAGCCTTTCCCTGTTGTAATTACATACCTTGTTTCCTTTGTTTTTGTTTTGTTTACCAGAAATGTGATACCTCAAAACACAAAGTGTTGGCAGTGTCTATATGCCCTCAGTCATTGCCTTATTTTGCTGCTAAATTCAATCTCTCTGTGAATGATGCAGCCAAGAGACTCTGTGGTTTCCTCAAAAGTCTTGGTAAGTTTGGGTTTGTTATGATGGTGGAGCAGAAAGGGGAGATTGTTTTAGGTGTTTGCTTCCTCAGCAGAATTGTTTGTTATGCGGTCATAAAGTGCCATTGCACAATCTAGTTTAGAGTTTGAAATACGCACCCTGTGATACTAATGACAGTGCACCAGTGTGACATAACACCAGTTTCAGAAATGGATTGGAGGCATTACCCTGTTGATAGTAAAGGTCACAGAATAGAAGGACATTATAGAGCTGTCTTTGAAACCTTCACTACCAAGAAATCAGGGAGGATTTGGTCATGAGCTTCAATAAGATCTCCCCTTATTTTGTAACTTGAGGGAGGAGGGAATTCTTATCCTAAATGCCTTCCAGTCCTTTTGACACATTATATCTCTAGAAGATTCTCAGTTCTGTTTTTTTCTGTAATTTGAAATCACATGCAAGAACTGTTGTATCTGCCTGTTTTATGTTAAAGCTGTATTTCCTTTGTGCTTTATACTAGATATACACAGTTCTATTTAAAAAACAAAAAACACTTTGCCTGTAGTTTTAGGGTTTTTTAATGTACTTGAGGAAGGAAGGAAAAGGACAGTAATAAACCTATAAACTGTTTCCTCCTGTATATATATATATTCATTCTTCATAGTTTTTATACATCTCTGTACCCAGTGTATTTTCTTAATCTGAAAGGAATGCTAAGTTCTGGTGGGCCCCAGTTTTCTTAGAATACGTTAATTATCTATGCCTCACTTGCTGCGGGGACATGCTCAGTATTACGTAGGCGTATAGGGAGTATGTTGCTAAATAAGCAGACAGAAGGTCTCTGCCATGTTGGTGATATGCTCGTGTACCTTTGCAGACAACTTCAGCAACGGAAGATATGCCTCTTAGCTGGATATATTTTTTTTGTGGATAATATGTGACTTCAGCATGTTTTAAAAAGAATGCTTCTTTTCAAGAGTCACTGCCTATAGCCCAGGAGTCGTGAATCCCAGTCAATTAAACAAAAAGCAAATACATGCTGAATGGCAAGCTTCTCATAATGAAGCAGACTACTATTTGAAGTGTTGCTCATCAGCACTAGCAAGTTGGTGGTCCTTTTAAATTCATGACATAGAAGATAGCTTTTCAATGTATGGCTTTTGTTTTTGACTCTACTGTTTGTGAAAATTTGGAGAGGGGAAAGAATATACCCATTGATCCTCCAAGATTTTCTGTAGGCTGGGAACTTGGAAAGAAGCCTGAGAGATGGAAAACATTCTAGTAATTCACTTTTCCTTACTGCTTTCTTTCATAGGGGTGCATTATGTATTTGACACCACTATAGCTGCTGATTTCAGTATCCTGGAGAGCCAGAGGGAATTTGTGCAGCGGTATCAACGGAGGAACCAGGAGGAGCATGCCTTACCAATGTTTGCCTCTGCTTGCCCTGGTGAGAACTTACTTCTCCAACCTTCCTGCACTTCAGCCTGGTCTCATTGGAACTGCCAAGGAATTAAGGAAAGGGTGGTTTCATTTGGGAGCCTTACATAACTTAGAGCATTTTGGCTTTGCTTTTGAGAGATACCAAATATCGCACGCAATATTTGTTACCAGTAGTGCTGATCGTCCTTAGTGCATTTCAGTGCCTTGCTAGAAGGGCCTGTTTTTCATGGGCTATTGGGAGAGCAGAATTTGTTTCCATCAAGCATTATCAGCTTTCCCATATGTAAGTGAGATGCCACAGCCATAGACGTGAACCATGCAGACAACGAACGGGTGCGATCGTGCTGGATAAGGCATGTGCTAATTCAGTGTAGGGCCTTACACAGTCAGATACAAAGGTTGCAATAAATTCCCTATCTGCATCTTACAGTTGTCTTCTGTTGGAGCTCTGTAAAAGGCGAGGAGTGTAAATTCTGTTGTTGCTCTTCAAAAAAAAAGAACCTTGCTGTAGTCTACAGCCTCTGATAATACAAAGAACCTGAACTACCAATTTCCTGTGCTAGTGTTTATATGTGGTATTTATTAGTCAGTTGTATTTCTCATCACTTCTATAAAAGAAGCATATATTACATATGAATCTCTGGATAATGAAACTGAGGTACAGAAGCACTGAGCTTTTTAGTGCTTTATATAAGACCTTAGGAGAAATTTATCAGAACTGGAATTGAGGAGTTAGTGGCTGCTGCTTGTGTATCCAGACCATAAAGTTTAACATGGTATTTCCTTATTGAAAAGAATCTTTAAGGAACTTTGCTAACTGATGTAATTAAACCACAACCTCCATTATCTTAAGCAAAGTTTTGAACTTGCCACTTAAGCCTAGGGGAAAGTAGCAAGTGACATTCCTCTTAATGACTGTGAGAGGGTTATGTCTAACACTTACAAATTAATTCCCACTTGAAATGTCACAGACCTGACTCACTAAATGTCTCACTTCTGAGAATTTTGCACCTGAGAACTTGTTCTGTTATGAACAGAACCTGCACTTATCACAACTGAAAAGATGTAGAACATTAAGTCATTGTTTACTTTTTCCATTTGTTAGCACACCGTCATTTCAGTTTAAGTATGATAAGTCACATTCCTAAAACAGAAGTATCAAAAAGGAGGTAAAAGTAACTCCTTTGCCTGCACCCCCCCCAACTCCACCCTAAAGTTCACGGTATTGCTTTTCAAAAGGCTAATAAAAAATACAAAAATATTTCTTTCTAGCTTTGAAATAACTCAAGTGGATTGCATTCTTTAAAGAAATGTTACAGTGACAAGAGAGTGAGTTAGAGTAGCGTTTGGTGATCCCCAGAATCTGCTGTTGTCATTGATTTAAATACTGCTATTTGAATTATACTTGTACTTTTGTTTGTTCTGTGTATTCTGTAGTGGAAGTATCTGGGTTATGCTTTAGGAACTACATATATGTATTAAGACAAAAAGTCTCTTTTTTTTTTTTTCCTGTTACTGTTATCTTAGTGTTACCTCCTATCTTCAGGAGCAGACATACTATATGTTGCTTTTTTATTAATGTAAAACGTGTAAAGTTGAAACAAACCCCTATTACTTAGCGTTGTCTTGTTGTACGTGGTTTATTTAAAATTCAAAACCTGAGGATTTCTTTTAGAGCTGCTTCTGAGATAATTTTAATTTTCTTCATCTAGAAACAGCTCAGATTATCTGCTGCTTTCATTGGAAATATTTTAAAATAGTTAATGGAGCACTTTTCTTGTCCTTGTCTGTTCTACGAAAGATTGTTTCTGTTTTCAGTGCTAGTTATGGTGTTAGCTATATGCTAGATGTTAGCAGAAGCACGGGTGCTTTCCGTTTCTGGAAAACTGAACCGAAATACCACACTAACCCCATTCTGAAAGCATATTTCATTCCCATTGACAGCAATTACAGGGAAAAAAAAAAAACATGATCAGTCATCTTTAAAGTAAGGTTATTTGCTGTGTTTCCTGCCTTTTCTGTTCCTCATTCTCCTTCCTCTCTCTACCCCTAGGTTACATAAATTTGTCCCAGAAATGTTGTTTACTGTGTGTGTTTATCACAAAATGTTTTTCACATAGCTCTCTAGATATAAGGTCAGTGTGAACTCAAGTATAACTGCTTTACTCTTATTTATCTTAGGGTGGAACTTTCCACAGAGCTATCACCCTCTGCAGGAGTGATCTGTGGTATAAAATGTACCACAAGCAAAAAAGCATAGCCCCTATAGTCCCAGAACCTGATAAAAGGGCATTTTATTGTCTCCGTGTTAATTGTTCTTATCTCCTCCTGCTGCTCTCTTAAAAGAAAGTGAGCTAATTTTGGGGGGTTTTGTTTCCTGTTGAAAATACAACAGTATAACTACTGATTGTCTATGTAATATCTCAGAAGTAACCACTTCTCTTCCTTAATTTACCAAACTGGTAAGCAACATGAAGCACTTGCTCTGGGAACCAGCCAGCATTTTAATGCGTTGCCAACCTCTGTGAACTCCTAGAACAGGTTAACGGGGCAGGCTTACAGCATACGTAGGAAGAGCATAACTATTGAGGATTCAAATGCTTTTGTCCCAGTCAGCTAAACTAATTTCCTTTTACAGGAATGGGGTTTTACAGTAGCAAAAGTTTTCTTAGTTTTTCTGCACTTCATACTGATGCATAGATACTTATGCTTGCATCTTTGTCATCTACTCATTGTAAACCACTAAAAATAACGTGTTCTGAAATACATCTGCGAGAATTTATACAGTGATTCGTAGCGGCTTCCTGTTCTTTCGTGCTAACACAGGCCAACAAATGGCCGAGAATCTGAATGCATTTATGAGGGTTATAGGTCTGTATGGGTACAGATGTACATTGATACAAGAACTGGGTATCTTAGCCTTCCTGTAACTGTGGCTCTGGAATTCAGCGCTGTTGATGAGTAGGCAGAAACAGCTAGTGCGTATGTGAAGTGCAGATAAATGCCTCATGTTGCTCATTCACCAAGGCTGCTTGTATAATTAAATAGTGACTAATGGTCATCGTGGAGCTGGAACTACCAGACACTTGTTCCATCTACTGCAAGGAAAGAAACAATTTAAGAAATTGCTTTGGGCAATACCTGCCAGGAGTCTCTTGGGATTTAGTCAAATTTCCTTACAGTTCATGACTACAGTATCTAAAACATTCCAATTCTAAAAGCTAGCCTCATAGCAGGAGTGCTGTGGTGATTAATGGAAATGATAGTTGCAGTCTAAGGGAAGGACCTTCCAGAAATGCCGCTGAAGTACAAGGCAGAATGTTTTTAAAAACTGCCCTTATTTTGTTTGAAGCAGTTTTTGTTTTATTTTGACAGCACTTGAGACTAACGCCATTTAAGAAATAGGATATACATATCATGCGGAATATGCTAGTATGGCCGTTGTACCAAGCACCAAGAAATTAAGTCCTTTTTTGCAGGTAGTGTCTTGGACTTAGTCTCAGCTGAAGTTGGACATTAAGCAAATTTCCTATTCAGAGCCATTCAGCACAGACCTGACATGTAAATCTATAGTCCCTAGCTTTTTCTACAACAAAAATGAATGCTTGTTGAAGATGATATATGTCTTGGGGATTTTCCATTGAGACCACTATCTGCTAATCTTGAAGTCTGTACTTTAACAAGAATTGGGAGTATTTAAACAGCTGGAGGATCCTCATGTTTCTCTAATACTTATACTTTCTCATTTTCATCAGAAAAATTTTATTATATTGGGAAAATCACTTCTCTGCCATAGAGAGACAAACCATCTGAACACCGCTTAGATTCCAGTTTTGTGCTGGTTTTGGCCTTTGTGGCAGTGTTGTGACTTAAATGTTACCAGGTGTTTATACATATGTGTTAATTTCAAGCTTAAGAATTAACCTACAGGTTTTACCTTTCCTGGGCAGCATGTACTTCACAGCAATTTTTCTCTTTTATGTAAACACTAATCTGTGTGAAGATAAAAGACTTAAGTGTGATATTTTTCACTATTTCTTAGCACCAAAAGCAACACGCTTCCCTAGAAGGCTGGGCCTAACACTTCTGTACAATTTAGGTATCTGGTTCTCAGTTCCTGTAGGTGAAGCAAAAAAAGAAAAAAGTTCTGAATCCTTGCTGTGAAAGATTCTGGGCTGTTGTTTTCAGTAAAAGTTACAGTGCCTAAGAAAGAATTGCATACCCTAAATATCTTAATCTTCTCATTTGTCAGTTCCTGTTCTGGAAGGTGGAGAATAATAGAACTGCTCTGGGTATTGGGGGTGGAGTGAATATACATAGCCTGTCATAGCTGAAATGCTGAAGGAGTCTGGTGAAAGGGAGGAAGACTCTTGAGTAACTAAGAATGTTGAATACAGAGAGATTTCAATCGATTCCTGTGTGTGTCGTTGGGTGTGTGGGTGTTTCTAAAGAAGGTGTGGCTACTCTAACAATAGTAAAAGAAGCCATTTTTTTCCAGGCTTAATCCACGTGCATCTTGTGATAATGCTTTCATGTGACTCTTCTGTTCTAGAGGAGGCAAGCTGGGTGCATGGATATTAAATCTCAGGAAACAGAAGGTTACAGTTAAGCAGCTGAACAGAGTACACTTGTTGTAGTATCTGGTTATCCAAGGGCTGAGGTCTAGAAAGTCAACTTACTCTTTGTTAGCTGGCGTCCCATTCTTTCTGCTTTGTTACATTTATGCATTAAAAAGGGTGTAATAGGTCATGAAGTTCACAGTGGTTTCTAGGTCTAGAATTAATGACACAGTGAATTATTGACAGCCAACTGTAAAGCATTATTAACAGAGCCTTGAGGTTTCCTACAGTTCCCAAGGTGGGGCTTCCAGCCTACATAGAAATGTCCTACCTACTGCGAAAGTGTCTTCATTTTTAAGAGCTGTTCTATAACTGCTGCTACTTTGCCATGCTTATGTGCCACTTCTAACTGTGATTCTCTGTTGTTCTAGGTTGGATCCGGTATGCTGAAAGGGTACTTACCAATCTTGTGACCTCTCACATTTGCACTGCAAAGTCGCCGCAGCAGATCATGGGCTCCCTGGTGAAGGGCTACTTTGCCAGGCAGCAGGTAAGTTTCAACCAGAAGACTGACTTTGGGTGTTTGTTACTGATGCTTTCTGACTTCTGGCAAATCACTTCATCTGTGTGCGGCAGTCTTTAAATTTAATTGCCTAGGGATTGATTACTAGTACTACCTGCAGAGAGTTTATGATGCTATTTTTGTCCTTGTCATCCTCCAAGCTGTCTTTTGCTCTTCATGGAGTTCACATGTGCTCTCTTCTGTGTTCCACAGAACTTGTCTCCTGATAAAATTTTCCATGTAATTGTGGCGCCTTGTTATGACAAAAAACTGGAAGCCTTGCGGGAAGATTTCTACACTGCCTTGTATAATTCGCAAGAAGTTGATTGTGTTCTGACATCAGGTTAAATCTTCTTTAAACCTACTATTTATAAAGTTATAAGTGAATCACCGTTGTTAGAATAGCCTTTATGCCAGACTCTGCTTTTTTCAAGTCACCTTTAGTTGTAAGGTTGGCTCTTTTCTGCTTTAAAAATCAGTACATGTTTTTGTGCTACTGGTAGTACAAGTATCGTATAGGGAAGGCAAAGCAAAAAATACTTTCCTTCTAAGTTGGTATTAATCTGAAAAGAAGGTTCAGGTATTTGTTTTTGTCAGCCTCTTGAGAAAGGTAAGAGTTGTGCAAATCCATATGTCTTGCTTGTCTATGGTCGTTAGTTAATCTACACTGGGATTGTTCATAACATTCCAAATGCATGGCACCAGTGGCTTTTTGGTGTGGCTCCTGTCTTTAGGCTTAATGTCCAAACTACGTATCCTCCTTTTTCCCTGCAGTGTAGAAACGTCTTCCAAATTTTATGGAACAGAAAGGCTAAGGATAGCATTATGCAAAGTTTGGAGCAAGCTGAAGGCCCTTTTCTTCAGGGCTGGAAGTGTCAGGCTTCTCAGATACTGGAGGCAGCTGACTCTAGTAAGAATTGGCTTAAGCCAATGTAAGCACATATAGGTGTTGGGCTACTGATCTCTTAAATGGAGGCACAGCATGTGCATTTTGCTTTGTGTTGAAAGTAAAATGTCATATGTTTTCCTACAGGTGAAATTGTCCAAATAATGGAACAGAAAAATGTGTCTATGAAAGATGTGACTGAAGTAGCTGTAGATAGTTTGTAAGTAGTTTTGTTGTGGATTGCTTCCTTATTTTCATAACAAATGACAATACTTTTGAGCATATTCAGCATAAATGTAAAACTTCTCAAAAGAATGTTTTTTCTTTTTAAAGGAAAAAAGCCTGCATCAAAGCTTGAGTATACTAAAGCCTCATCCTTTATATAGTGGCCAAAACCCCCCAAAGTATTCTCAGATGTTTATTGCTATATATAAAATTAATACAAAACAGATAATATAGAACTGTATATGCTGTCTAAATACAAAGCAGATAATTTGAGGTAATGACACCTATCTAGTGACTTATTATTTTTGAAGATTTGTGTAGCTCCTTATTTTTATTTTAATGCAGTAATACTAGATTTGACTATATCAAGTTCACGACTTGCTAGTAAGTGTGACCGTCTCAGGATGTTGACCCCACTCAGAGCTCTCCTGTGCTTGAGCTTGTATAAAGCTGAACAGTCTCATCTGCCCCCCTCCAACTGTCTGGCCTCACACAAAGATGCTGGGATGCAATCATGGGGTTGACCATCTGTTCTGTGCTTCCCTCTCATTCAGAGCAGCATCTTGACAGTAAATTTCCACTTCCTCTAATATGTTCATGTAGAATTGATAGAAGTAGGACCCTTTCAGGAAATGGTAATTAATTTTTTTTTTTTTTTTTGTACTGAAGAGAGCAGTTAGTTTTTCAAGATTAGATAAAATTGAAACATGCATTAGATGAAAATCACACAAAGCATTGAAGAGATTTTGTTTACTTACTGTATGACTGGCTCAGAAAGCAGCATGCATGTTGTTTTAATTCTCAGGCTTAGTTACAAAGGCTGGTCTCGCTGCTCACTGATCTTTGTTCAAGTGTGACAGATGTTACTTGGTATCTTTCCAAAGTGGTGGTAGTGGAGCAATAAAGACGCTTTCTTGCACAAAATAGAAAGCTCTGGAAATTTTTAAAAATCCTTTTCACTTTCAGTTAGTATCCTACTTGGACCTTGTTTAGACTAGAGAAATTTAAGTGGTACAGTGGTAACATTTTCAGAGCTGTGTTTGTAGTGTAACTCCTATGATTGCTTCTACTAAAGATTGCTACACAGAGTGAGAATTACATAAATAAAGTTCTTACAGGCATAATCACATAGAGTTGGTAATTTATTTCTAAATCAGCCTGTCCAATGAAAGAACAAGCTCTTATTCAGAATATGCCTGTTTTATTGGATCAATTTATGTTGGAAAATAATGTTAATTTTTAAAAGGATTAATCTGATAATACTGGTTCAAGCTGTGAGACCTGATGAGATAAATTTTTGCTCTTCTGGAGTCTTAAAAGTAGATTTTGCAGAGAAATTTATGTAACTTGAACTCCTCCCCTCAAAACAAGTCCCAGCACAGCAATTTGTAGTAAAGTGCTTGGTATTAAAAAAGTAGTATGAACAAAGTAACTCATGTTTGAGTTCTCAACTCACTTTTGTAGCTAGAGAATGCTAAAAAATAGCAATTGGCTAAAATTAGGAGACATACCATGAAACAAAATCACCCATGGTTATTAAAAAAAAAAAACACCAAAGGTTGCAGTAGTTCTTAAGTAGGTGCAATGGCATGGCATAGAGGGGACAGACATACTACATTTGTAAACTTCAGCTCTTCAGTGATTAAACTATTTCTCTGTCATTATTACAACTTCAGCATTTTTTGTTAGTAAGGTGTTTGCTGTGGTAATTTTCACTTCGGTTTCGTGGCTGAATGCTGTGCTCGGACAGCTGCTCGGGCAAGAGCTAGCCATATAGGCCAGGAAAGGTCATGTCTGGATGTTCTGGGAAGAAGGTAATCAGACTACATCTAGAGAGGCTGTTACGTGTAAGAGCAAGGGACATAATCTGTCCATTTGCTAATGTGAAGATGAATATCTCTTCCTGAAACTAGCATTACCACAAACCTCTATCAATTTCTCCTTTGCCAGAAAGGAACGTGAGCCTGTAGAGCCACGGTCTTTGGCGATCACCAGCACACATCCCAGTATGGTTTATACTACAGCCACTTGTGCTCATCAGTGCTCTTTTTAACTGAGGGAGAGGTGACCCTCCAGGTGAATGCTATGCCCATTGGATATGATCTCACTAATTTTCTCTCCTGAACTATAGTGCAGTACTTATCTTAAAGGTACGGTGTTCTAGCCTGGTTGCAGCTGTACTGGTTCGGTGTTATTTGAGTGGCACAGTGTTACACCAACAGCTCCTGGAGCAGGAGAATTGTTTGTGAGCAAAGGCTTGTAACTTCTGAGGTAGTTTTATGTTCTTACAGGCTAAAAATGATTTATTTATTTTTTCCCAAAAATGTTTCCTGAGCAGTGAATGGCTGTTAACCAAGTCTTTAGGCTGTGCTGAATGTGCATTCTTTTAAATTACTGTTGCTCAAGGTTTCTGAACATGGAAAGCCCTGCATCCTTTTATATTTTTTTTATTTTATTTTTTCCATCATTTTACTGCTGTCCTGAATAGTTCAATTTTTTTTAAGCTGTAATAAATAAAAATGTTAATATGTTTTCATTCACTGCTATAAAACTCCTTTTGGTGGGAGAGATAGAGGAGGGGAAAAACATAGTACTTTATTGAAGTGAAGGAATGAAATTTTGGGAGTTGATCTTTCTTTCTGTTGTTTTCTAAGGTTTGATGAAGTAAAGGAGGGAGATGTAGTAAGGCATGATGGGAAGAGATCCGACGGTTACCTGGAGCACATTTTTAAACATGCCGCAAAGGAGCTTTTTGGCATGGATGTCAAGGAAATCACCTACAAAGCATTAAAGTAAGTTAGAGTTTTGTATCCTTGTTATGTAGGATGGGCTAGTTAGAATAGAATAGAATGTTTTCAGTTGGAAGGGACCTACAATGATCATCTAGTCCAACTGCCTGAGCACTTCAGGGCTGACTAAAAGTTAAAGCATGTTATTAAGGGCATTGTCCAAATGCCTCTGAAACGCTGGCAGGCTTGAGGCATCGACCACCTCTCTAGGAAGCTTGTTACAGTGTTTGACCAACCTCTCGGTAAAGAAATGGTTCCTAATGTCCAGTGTAAACCTCCCCTGGTTTAATTGGTGCTACAGTGAACCATAATGTAGTTATTGCTACCCTAGCTCTTTCACTCATAGGCAGTAACATGTTATAAACCTGTAAATTTGTTGCTGTAAAGTAGCTCCTGCTAGCTTTAATTTTATTAATAATTTACCTGCCTTTAAAAATTAAGTATAATTCAACCCCAACTTCTCCTTCACTCAGTTTAGAAACTGGAAGAGTTCACCTTAATCTCACCGTTACACTTTTTCCGTTCTCTTTAGAGCATCTGAATACCAACTGACACAGTTGGATCATGCCTTTGGTAATGCAGGGGTTTAAAATGTTCTCTGTGTGTCTTTACAGGAACAAGGACTTTCAAGAAGTTACCCTTGAAAAGGATGGTGAGACAGTGCTGCGTTTTGCAGCAGCTTATGGCTTTAGAAATATCCAAAACATGGTTCTGAAATTGAAAAAAGGAAAGTTTTTATACCATTTTGTAGAAGTCCTTGCCTGCCCAGGAGGTAAGAATAATTGGGGATCCACAGTCATTCCACACACATATCTTGAATCTTAAAGGAAAGTTGTCTTACAGGCAGGCACTTGATTTCATTCCCTCTTAATTCTCTTCTTAAAATCTAAAATGCTTACTATTTAATGAACGGTCCAGAACACTAATGCATGTGCAGGGTTGGCTCAGAAATTGATTGGGTTTTCTAAAATTAACCACAATGTTATTTGCTCTCTTCTGACCTAAAAATAAGTGACAGCATGGCTCTTACAATTATTTCAAACCTCAGAGGAAATACTCTGAAATGGTGGTTGTCAAGGGCAAGAAAAGACAAGGAACATAATTAAGATCATAAAACCATGGAGAAGGCAGAGAAAGATTGTTGATATGGAAACCTCATTTACATTAAGATGATGTTGATATTGGAGTCACTTAAAGTAAATAAAAATTCTAACAGCATGGGGGGGGTAGTTTATGTAAAGAAACAACTTTTTTTCTTTAGACAAGTATGAAAAAAGAATTCCAAGTTAACATAAACTTTCTCTTCATGTCAAATCTCCATCACCCTTGCAGCTTTTTTCTTTTCTTTTTTTTTTTCCTAAGGGTGCCTAAATGGAAAAGGTCAGGCACAAACTGAAGATGGAAAACCAGATAAAGCACTGCTTAACCAGATGGAAGAAGTCTATGCTGCAATACCTGTTAGACTTCCAGAAACCAACATGCACGTACAAAAGATGTACCAGGACTGGCTGGAAGGCATGGACTCTAAGAAGGTCCAGGAAACTTTGCACACCAAATACAGTGCAGTAAATCAAACAGCAAGCAATTTGGATATCAAATGGTAATAAATCAAACTTGCAAAAGTTTTGCTTAGGTTAGTTACAGATTCAGCACTGGAAACATTCTATGCAATCGCAGATGCTATGCACTAGCCGAGTGTATGAATGAGACGCTTCCTAATTGTGGATTATTATTTGTGAAGAACCATTGCTTTTAAAAACAGAAAGAGAAGTCTCCGAAAGCCCTGGTTCCTGCCATTGTCATTTAACTTTTACTGTGTGTAATCTCCTGCATATAATGAATTTCTTTATTCAAAAACATGATCTTGCAAGGTACATAAGCATTTTCTGCCAGGGGCAGGGGGTGTAATTCCTGATGAAGTTACTCCCTGAAGTGAAGGGTTCCCTTCACTTCACAAAATGGGCTCCCCCAAGAAGGTGAGATTATTTTACTCCTACTCCTAGGTATGCAATCCCTTTCATCATGGGAGAACAGTCATCATGAATTTCAATATTGTTGCAGCTGTTGTGAAGTAACTTGGGGTTTACTTGCCTTGTTAACCACAAAACCCTTTGCAGGGACAAGTGTGTATATGGAGAAGTGTAATGAATTTATGTATGCCTTCTATCCATATTTTAACAAAAACTATTTAGTTCCAAACTAGTCATCATTCCTGACTGATGTAATATTTTGTAAGGAAGAGGACGCTTCATATAAACGGAACTTGGGAAACTAATGCTAAGTAGTTATAATGCAATCCTTCATTAAAAATAATTCCAAATAGGTTGGTTGGTACAAAAAGAGAACTTTTCTTTCCTTGTAAGTTTTCTTAGAAACTTGCAGCTAGGAAGAGTGGTGCTGCTTACTTTGTCTGGCTTCTTTATGAGAGTGAAACAGACATATGTACTGTCACGTGAGCACGTGCATACTACAACTTCGCTAGTTTATTCTCATGTTTCGGTACACAGAATACCAGATTATTCTTTCATTTATCTCCATGTTGACGGACTTCTGTAAAAACTTCATGGAGTGCCTCTGGAAAAAAGACTTAGCAATGCTTGTGAGCTCATCAAATTTACTATACATTGGCATCATGAATTTTGGTGCACTTTTTTTTTAATTATGCTGTAGAGGTTTCATTTAACAGACATCTTAAAGTGGTGTTTGCCTGCAAGCTTTTCTGCAACTCGTGAGTTGTCAGAGAGTTACTCAAGAATGTGATGGACAAAAAAAAAAAGAAACTACTGCCAGACTTCTTCAGATTTTCCTAGTAGCATCAAATTTGTTCACAATTAATGGCCGTTTCAAGCTTTCCATTTCCAGTCTGAAAATGTGGATGGGCTTTTTTAATCATTTCAGGCAGTTTGAATGAATCTTCTTGTAAATTTCTTAATATTACAACTGCTTGTATGAGTAAGAACTAACACTACAAAAACCTGCCTGTATTTGAAATCCGCATTTAACTTAAACACAGTGGATGGCATAAAGGCATCAGTGAAGCCAATGCCACTTCTTGCATTGGCTAAACAACAGAGGCTCAAAAGGAGAGGGACAGACTTAAGTATGTTACCCTGATGACAAGAGATAGTTCTCTTAATGTGAAGCTGTTAATAGAATTGCAGCTTCCAATTGGACCTCCAGCTAAATAACAAAACACTTCAATTTGAGGGATGTTTTCTTTCAAGTGCAAATGAATTTGATTACTGTGCTACCTGAATGCACACAATGAGATTATACCCATAAATTAGCCTTGGTAAGTTGTTCCTTGTTGTAATAAAACCATTATACTTACGTGGTGCAATATCAGATCATCTACAGAAATCTACCTCTGTACAGGAAGGGAGTCCAGAAATCGTGGGAAGACCTATGTATAGCTGAAACTTTAATACATGTCTTCAAAAGAAAGGTGGTGGTGTTGCATGAAATTTCTGAACAGATTACTTTTAGAAGCAACATCCAATTCCTTTGGTCTGATTTTCTTTATCTGTCATGATTTCCTCCAAAAACGTCAACAGAATTATCTTGTAATAAAGTGGTCTTGTTCTGTTTGTATAGGCATATGTTTCTATGTATATATGGTTTATAGCTTGATGGCATGTTTAAATTATATTGTTTCAGTTCTTTGTATAGTATGCTTATTTTTTTTATGTGCATATACTGGATGAAATGGTACGAAAAAGTTGTTTGCTTTTCTGATGAAATCTTCACTAAACTACACAAGAGCTGCCTTGCTGTTCTGAAAGGATACCTTTGAACTGTTTGTGCAACTTGGAAAATACTCATCTTGCCTAGGTGTACATGTTCTCTTTTGCCATTATGCTTGCCTGTTGCACTGAAGAGCCTCACTTCCCATACTGGTGGGAGACCCTGGAAATGGGCCAGCACGTGAAATAAATCTGTCTACAGTATACTGTGCTGTGCTCCCACTACAACGGAAATTGGTGGCTCAGCGTGTAAAATAAACTTTTTCAGTTGAATCCACCGTTTCTTCCGTCTATTTGAGTGTTTTAACCTATTGAGATGGTAGCAATGTAAAAATCTAGTAGATTATTTGTCTGCCACAGTATTTTTAAAGACGAGGAAGGCATCTAACTGGGCAGCTTTTAGTGGCTAGGTGGAATGTATGTATTATAACTAGTGACTTACAGTGACTGATACTTGTCTTTTTTTGTCAGCTTTTGTTTTATAAGACTTTTTGGAGTAAAACTGATTTTATGTTTTTAAAGTCCTTTTCTTTGAAGTGCCAGTTTAAAAGAAAAAAAATTTTTTTCCCCTTAACTGTAGTCAGTCTTTCCCCCTCCGCCTTCTTTCACTGAAATTTTAACATACATCAGAAAACCTTGTTGCAACTTCATAGATAGTGAAATACTTGCCTAAGATTTGATTCTGGCTTTTAAATCTAGAGTTGGGAAGTCTGTCATTGTTGACAATACGTGTTTCTAGCCACACTTTCTGAAACTACAGTGTTATTTAGTTCCCCAATATGATTTTAGCAACTAGTAATTTTCATTGCTACTGCCTTTTCAGCAATGGGAAAAGTTCCTGGTGGGGTCACAGCCATAGTGCTTTACTTCTCAGTTGAATGTTGTGCTGAGACAATCTTGTCTCGCCATGATTTTTAGAAAATACTAAATTGGAGGGATTGCGGGAAAGAAACTGGAAATGCTAAATTAATTTGGAAATTGTCTTGGGGTTTATTGACTTGAGCATATCAAGTGCTTGATACCTTGGGTTATAGTACTTTATTCTGAGACTGCTACAAGAAGGGATACGCATTGTGAAGTACTTCTGCTATGCCTTCTCCGGTAAGTTTGCCTCAGCCACAGCACCTTGTGTTTGTCCACTATAGTTAATGAACATGGACAGACGTGGGCTATGCTATCGCTTAGAATAATGGAAATATCTGTATGCAGCAGTCTCACCTAGATTATATTTGGATAATGTTCAGTTACCTAAATTTTGGTGCTTTGTATTCATATGGAGCATGACCATGAATTGTCCTCAATAAATCTTGATACTGAATTACGTACTGCTTCTGTCTCATTCCATATAAAAGCTTAACTCTTTAAGTACACTTTGTTTTAACACGTGCTTGACTGGTGAATTTAGCATGAATACTTAGTAAGTCTGTAAGAGTAATACTGTATCAGCTGTTTATGAGTATTCTGAATTACAGCTATACTTCAAACTGATAAATGGAAGGAGAAAGTTGTTGGATAGCAGTAGGAAATGGTAATTTGCTCTCTAGAATTGTAAAATAACATACTGAATTGTTGCAAGGCAGATAAGCATCTAGTGGCTTTAAAGCTCTCTACCTGGGAAGAATGATGTTGCTGGATGAAGCCAATCTGTGGGGGCTGACTAGTTATTCTGGAGTTTACTATATACGGTAATGTAAAACACTGGTGCACAAGGAATAGTAAAGATACTTGTTTGTGTGTAGCCTGATACTTACAAACACAGTTGGGGAAAAGGATGAAAATTAGCCCCGACACAGAAGAGGGAGATACTTTTCATCAATAGGTTGTGCAAAAATTTCTTCAATGAATTCAGCAAACGTTTCCATAAATTCCCATGAACAGTTAGGACCCTAACTTCCACAAAATAATGACTAGACCTGGAGGTGGTCTGCATTTTTTCAAGGGTCAGTTAGGAGTTGTTACCTGGCCAGAGGAAAAGGAGGGGGAGCTGATCTTTAGTTTGGCACAGAACAGAGATGTTCCTGTTGCTGTGTAAACAGATGTCTAGTAAGGACAGGTTTTGAAATGAAAAATAATGAGGATTTGTGTCAGCAAAGCAGAGGTAATATCCATTTAAATTGTGCAGCGTTCAATCTGTGAGATTATACCCACTCAGAAATCGTTGCGTTTCTGTCCCTATCTTCCAAGTGAATAGTTGGGTGCATCTGAAAAGTAATGTCCAAATTCTGTGCATCTATCTACTGAGAATCAGATTTTCCTCGGTGTGAATGACTTTTTTTTCTCCTCAAATAAAACTTAAGACACATATAAAACAACAGTAAAATGTAATGAAAGACCTAATTAAATTGTAGTAAGAACTATTTGAAAATTAAAGAATTAAAGTCGTATTTGATCTTTTTGTCAAATGTATAGCTGTTCACTGAATTTAAGAAAATTAGGAATAGTGCGATACAGTTCAGGCCAAGGAAAACCCTTCAGCACTCAGCTGCTTGGGTTTTACCCCCGTTTTAGTCTGTACCCTGCTGTGCTGCACTTTTGACATTGCCGTTTGGTTTTCCCTGTGAGGGATCATTATATATGCTGTCCGTGCAAAACTGTCTGCCTTTATTTAGCTCTTCTATAGGCACGTACGTACACACAAGCTGGCCTGGCTCTGCGCTCGGGCGATGTCCCGCCACGGACACAGAAAAAGCGAGGGCCGTGTGGTAGGTTCTACCGAGATTTGAACTCGGATCGCTGGATTCAAAGTCCAGAGTGCTAACCATTACACCATAGAACCGGGCGGTGGCACTCGCCTCCGCGCGGCCGGAGAATAAACCTATAGCAAACAAATCCTCTGTAAAAATTACCACTGTCCTTTTTGCACCTTTCCTTTTGCACCTTAAAACTGGCCAGGAATTTAATGCAACCTAAATATTCCTATTTATTCTGCCTTTCTGCAATATTCGTTGTCTTCGTGGTATAATGGTCGCAAAGATGCAACGTCAGACAGCAAACACGAACTGTAAGAGAACATCTTCTTTCAGACACAAAAACCGAATCCTC